GAGAGGCTGCTCCGCATCTCCCTGGTCTGCTGAGGGGGGGAGTCCTCCCCAGCAGACTAGGGAGACGCGGAGCAAAGCCCCGGAGCACACGGGCAGTGGGACAGCCCAGACGCGCCGCGGCTGTCCCGCTGCCCGCGTGCTCCCCGTCTCCTTGGTCTGCTGGTCTCCAGGGAGACGCGGAGCAAAGCCGCAGAGGACCCGGGCGGCGGGACCGTGGCACGTCTGGGTGGTCCCGCCGCCCGCAAATTTCTGGGGCGAGAAAAGCCCCGTTCGGAAGTGCAGATCCGACATAAGTCAGATCCGCATAACTTGGGGACTGCCTGTACTGGATTTTTAGCAGCTTATCTCCCAGTATGGTTTCAGTCTGGCTATAGGAGACTCCTGGCGAAACTAGGAAGGTTGGCAACCCTAGCTGCACAACACGGGAAATCAGACTAGGAGAAAAGCAAATTTTCCTCTGGGCATGCATTCCCCAAATAACTGTTTGAATTCCCTGACTGAGATCCTGTATCTGCAAACACTCCTCATCCCATTTTCACTTGATAATGTAAAAAAGAGATTGAATGTCACAAGGTGGGCAGGATTAGTGGTGCATTACTTTTTTCCAATATGTATTTGAAGCATGTATTTTTAAGATTTTATTAAAAATGCCGTTGCCTGATTCTACACAACTGATGTTAGTGGGAATTCTACCATTGACTTCTAGGGACACATATGGGCCCACTATTGTGCTCACTGAACTCAATGGCAAGATAGTTGCTGAGTTAAAGATGTAGGATCAAGCCCCTGAAGGCTAGAGGTTTATTTTATATAAAGATGTCTATATCTGTAAAATACAAAGCCAGCTTCTTTTTTGTAAAGAATAACAGTTCGGGATGTATGTGCATATGTCCCCCTCTCTCCACCTCATGTGCTGAGTGCTGAATGCTTTAAGCATATTCTTTTTAATGTTATTTGCCTTAAGCTGCTATTCTTTACAAAAAGAGATTGCTGAATCAGGTTCTTAAAATTTCAGCAAAGCATTTAACTATGTGTTTAAGTGCTTTCCAGAAAGGGGGCCTAAATATACAAGTACCTATTTCTGGAGATATATAAATGTAAAACTCTTGCTTGTCCCTTAATGGTGTGGGTGCAAACCCCTTGCCTGTGTCTAGACTGCATCTCTTTTCCGTAAAAGGGATGCAAATTAGACACATCGCAATTGCAAGAAGCGGGGTTTAAAACCCCCCCCGCTTCATTTACATAAACATGGCTGCCACTTTTTTCCGGCTCAGCGCTTTGCTGGAAAAAAGCCCCAGTCTAGACGCAGATCTTTCGGAAAATAAAGCCTTTTCCGAAAGATCCCTTATTGCTCTTAAAATAAGGGATCTTTTGGAAAAGGCTTTATTTTCCGAAAGATCCACGTCTAGAGTGGCACTTTTTTCTGGCAAAGCTCCGAGCCAGAAAAAAGCGGCAGCCATGTTTATGCAAATGAATCAGGGGGGATTTAAATCCCCGCTTCATTTGCAATTGCGATGTGTCTAATTTGCATCCCTTTTATGGAAAAGGGATGCAGTCTAGACACAGCCCTTGACTATAGAAGATGTAGGGTGCATATTACAGATACATACAATTTTTTTTTATTTTACTATACATATGAAATCAAGAGCAAGCAACCTCTTTTGTAAAGAAGAGTAGTTCCCTGCAAATAATTTTAGAAAAGAAGGAATGTTCTTAAAGCATTCATTCAATACCCAGTTCATTATTATTAATGTTGTTTTATTAAATCTCGCTTGAACATAGTGATTAAGAGTTTTTTAAAAGGTAAAATATACGCTACTTTAAAAAATAAAATAAATGAAATATCTATTGTGCCCCACTTTTGTGGCTAATGAGACCATGCACAGCAGCTCCGTTTTGACATTTTGGAAATGCTGACAGGAAAAAAGAGAAGGCCATAATAGTTCCCATAACCATATAAGTACTGAAAAGCACAGCCACAAAAGTAGGTCACCGAGCTGAGCCAAAGGATATGTTCAGGAGCTTTCTATGCAATCTAGAAATTAGAAGTGAGTATCTGCAAAGGATAATGCAACAGATAAAGCATTTCACGCCATATATTTATATTATGATTTCTCCTACATTGGAATCATTTCTTCATGCTTAAGACTTATTTTCCAAATAGCTGGGAATGTCACACAGTTTATTCTCTCATGCCAGAGAGCTGAAACATTCTTTACAGACTTCATAACATAGTAAGCATAAATATATATATTGTATAAATATATATGACAATTCACCCCGTATTCTTCATAGTGATGTTATTAGGATACTGTCATAGTGTAATTCTGATGTATTTTATGCAAGATGGGTTGTTCAAGGTGTCATTGGAAAAGTTGCAATTTGCTGAATATGATTATCTCATGAGTATGCATGTATCATGTTGTATCTCAAGTTATAAACACTGACTATGTATTTGTACTTCAAATGCAGTTACATGTGAGTAACACCCAGTAGACAAGTAACACCTTCTGGTTGGCAAGGACTTATTCAAGGCAATGAGCCATGAGGGAAAAGAGTAGGCCTGCTCCCACCTGATGAGCCTTCATGAAAACACTCTAGACAGCCTGAAAGTGATGACTGCTATGACTCTACAAAGACATGTGACCAACCCACATGATTCTGGACTCCATTTTGGGAATGTCAGTATTATTCCACACACCGGTCTGCAAACCAGGGTTTGAAATGAAGATTTCCCTCCATATGCTAAAGCTATATAAGGCAGGGAGTGATATCATCTGTTGTTCTTCACTCCCCACACAAGAAGACTCCTGGCAACATGAAAGGAACAAAGACTGAATTGGGGAAAGTGCTAGATCCAGGCTAAAGGCCTTTCTGGACTATGTGTGAAAGACCTGGAAATTCCAAGCTAAAAAGTCATTTCAGTTTGCCCCTTAAGAATCTGCAGCCTGCTTGTTTCATCAGCCAGGATGTGAATTTGCTAATTCATACCCTATCATTCTAGTATCTTGGGCTTAGTTTGTGTATATTTATATATAATCTGATATGATCTGTTGCTATCACTTATAATCACTTAAACTCTCTTTTGTAGTTAATACATTTGTTTTGCTTTATCTAAACTAGTGAGTTTGGAGTGACGCGTATGGAAAATCATAGCTGCAGGGACAAAGTCCACTGCATATTCCTCTTCACATTGTGGAGAAGAGAGGGAGAACAGACATGGTATATGCTTACACTATACAATTCCCTGTGCAATGCAATATGGGAATTTTGGGTTTATGATCAAGAAGGGGCACAGGTTTGCAGAGCTGAGAATTACCTTGATTATACCCTTTTCAGTGTTGGTTCATGCAGTGGTGACTCAGAAGGTCTGTGTGTAACTGTAATTGGGTGTGTCCTCACCTGTGTGAATGCAGGTAGAAGTGTAGGACTGGGGATGGATACGAAGCTTGTCATAGCATTACAGTGTAAGAGGGAGCCCAGGCTACTGGGTCAGAGGGCTTAGTGGCATCCCAGTCCCAGGGGGCACATCCAGGACACCCATCACAATATATTTTTATATATTTACCTATTATAAATTTGAGTTTGTCTATCTGTGTGTGAGTCTGTCGGTTTCTTCAAGAACTCCTCCTAAACAGGAAGAACTAGGACTACCAAATTCAGTATGCACCTTCATAACAATTCAATATACAGCTTCATAAGATTATTTCTCTTGTCACAACTTAAACCAAGATAAGAGTTTGGTTGTTCCTGGAAAAAGGGATGTGTCCAGAATGGGATTGCTTTTCATTAAACCCTACAGAAAAGATCACCAGGCAGGTAAAAGAGGCTGGCTAAGGGTGTGCTCCCTCCCACCTTTCCAGAACTGCCCCAGCCCCGAGCCTCCCACCCTCCAGGCACCCTTTAGGCAGGGTGAGGGGGCTGAAGCTCCCCCACATTCATATGGGAACAATGCTGGCTGTTTCCTCAGAGGAATGTGCATAGTTTGCTGCATTCCTCACTATGGCTGGAAAGCACTGGGGGCAGATGCATGTGGACCTGCTCCAGCTGGGGGATATGAACCCTTCCCTTGACTGTGCCTGCTAGAAGTGCAGCATCTATGGAGAGGTGCTTCTCACCTGGTCAAAAACTGCTGCAGTGAGAAAGGGCTAGGGTTGTCCTCTCTCTCCAGAGCAATCTACATATTGAACCTCTCATCTCCAGCCCCACTATTTAATTTCCAAAAAAACCCCCAAGATTAATTGAATTAAGGATCCGAGCAATGCTAGGTACATCTATAAATACTCAAATGTCAAGTGTGTAGGGTTCACTTTGCTCTCTTTGAAAAGAGAGACACATCATCTTTCAATTACCATCCCAAGGAAACCAATGAAAAAGAATACCATCTACAATGAACAAGAATGGTATTGTGGCAAAAGAACTCTGTTTGTGAATAAGTTATCACCCTTGTAAATAGCTCAAACTGTATGAAATTTAACAATTCTTCCCCCTGACATGAGAATTAATGGAAAGTGGCAATTATCATCATGGTTTTCTATATTTAGAGCCTGATTCTGATGTCACTTACCCCAACCTGAATCAGGATTAACTATACTACAGTCAAGGAAAATACTGTTATAATACTAGTGTAATTAATATTTCAATTCCTCATAGTGAGGCAAGGGCAAAGAGAGAAAGACAGAGAGCCTGCAACCTCCAGCTGTCTCTTTCTTAGAGAGGAATGAGATACCTGACTACTTATTTTCTTTCTAGGAAAATTCTAGGGAAACCAAATGCCCCAACTGTTACTTCTTCCCTGTTGGAACGCTCCATATTGCAATTTGGGGATGAGACAGAGGTTTGTTTTAATAGACTGATATAGCACATTGAAACAATATAAGATGTAACTTGTGGAACAACAAAGGACAGAAGGCAAGGGATGGAAATATTAGTGTGAGATCTCTCAGGGTATGTCTACACTACAGCGCTAATTCAAACTAACTTAGTTAATTCGAACTAAGCTAATTCGAACTAGTGCATCTAGACCTAAAAACTAGTTCGAATTAGCGCTTTGCTAATTCGAATTAGCATGTGCACATTGAGTGGACCCTGAACCGAGGTTAAGGATGGCCAGAAGCAGTGCCGGCAGGGCATCAGAGAAGAACTTACAGCATGGAGCTGCTGTCTCAGGCTAGCCGAGGGCTGTGCTTAAAGGGACCCGACCCCCACCCTGGACAGACAGTTCTCAGGGGTTCCCCACTTGCAAAGCAGTCCTGGCTTGGAGTGCCCTGAATGCCCACACTCGGCACATCACAGCACTCGGCCATCAGCCCGGCTGCACTTGACGCAGGCTGCCATCCGGGAGGGTCAATCGGGGGGCTGCAGGAGAGCTTCCACCCTGAGGAGCCCGCAGAGCCACCACAGTCCTCCCCATCAGGGGCTCGTACCCCATTCCTCCCTCATCTCTTTCCACTTACCCTTCCCTAGCCCCCCTTCCTGATGTACAGAATAAAGAAAACGTGTGGTCAAAAATAGAATCTCTCTTTATTGAACAAAACTCAGGGAGACTGGGAAAAGGAGGTGGGAGAGGGGAAGACAGAGGGTGGGAGAGGGGAGGGCAACTAAAATGATCAGAGGTTTGGAACAGGTCTGATATGAAGAGAGGCTAAAGAGACTGGAACATTTCAGTTTAGAAAAGAGGAGACAGAGGGGGGATAGGATAGAGGTCTATAAAAGCATGAGTGTGGTGGAGAGGGTGCATACAGAAAAGTTCTTCATTAGTTCCCATAAAGAAGGACTAGAGGACACCAAAGGAAAGGAATGGGTAGCAGGCTTCAAACTAGTAACAGAAAGTTATTCTTCACAAAGCAAAGAGTCAACCTGTGGAACTCCTTGCTGCAGGAGGCTGTGAAGGCTACAACTAGAACAGAGTTTAAAGGGACGTGAGATCAAGTCATGGAGGTTGGGTCCATGGAGTCCTATTAGCCAGAGGGTAGGAGTGGTGTCCCTGCCCAAAGTTTGTGCAAGGCTGGAGAGGGATGGCACGAGACAAATGGCTTGGTCAAAAGCAAAGAGTCAACCTGTGGAACTCCTTGCTGCAGGAGGCTGTGAAGGCTACAACTAGAACAGAGTTTAAAGGGACGTGAGATCAAGTCATGGAGGTTGGGTCCATGGAGTCCTATTAGCCAGAGGGTAGGAGTGGTGTCCCTGCCCAAAGTTTGTGCAAGGCTGGAGAGGGATGGCACGAGACAAATGGCTTGGTCACTGTCTTCGGTCCATCCCCTCCAGGGTCCCTAGGGTTGGCCGCTGTCGACAGACAGGCTACTGGGCTAGATGGACCTTTGGTCTGACCCAGTACGGCCATTGTAAGCTCAGGGCTCAGGGTCGGGGGTCTCAGTGGACCACCTTGATTTTCATGCACACCTGCTCCTGGGTGGCCAGGCTGGCAGCTCTCCTGCCCTAGACGGCCACTTTCCTGTGCCTAGTGCGGAGGTCATGGACGAGGTC